TGTATGTGTTATAGAAATGGTAAATAAAGTAACTGGCTAAGAGGCTCTTACAAGCCTATACCTATTATTTGATAACCATGACAGATATGATTTATAGACTGAAGTGTGGGAAAAGACTGACCATCTGTCCTGTTGGAAAATCTAAGAAAACAGTTCTTTAAAAATTAGTCAATCCATAAGGGATTATAGAATACTAAACTTGTATTCAATAACATTTGCTAAGAAACCAAGTAAAACATGGTATTTTAATCCCTGTTAAACACTATACTTCTATTTCTAAAGTATACAAGTGATTTAAATTGTTCCTTTTAGAAAGGTGAAAGCTAAAATTATTTCTGAATTTTTAATTATTACTTTTCCCATTTTATTAGTATGTGCATTTATTTATTAAACTGTTAAATGTCAGATTGACATGCCTATTGTTCAATAGCTGCCTTTTCCATTCTCAATTTAGTCTTTATGGGGTAGTTCAAAATAACGATAGCTCTCAAAAGTGATCACAAAAATCAACAGATATTTTTTCAATGCACATATTACATACTCAATTGCACACTCACTTCAGTAATTTTACAATTGTTTTCAGTTTTTGATTATTTTCAGCTATTTATTATGCATCATAGTTTCTGGGGGGAAAGCTACACAAAGTGTCTGAAAGTAATTGGAAAGTATGTCAGTAACTGAGGGCTTTTTTTTTAATGGGACATATCTCCTAGAGATAAAAATCTTTAAAAGATAAAGTATTATTAAATCTGATTCTTGTATATTTTAAATTTAGACAGTTGAGAAACACTAAGTTAAAAGTCATTTATTTTTCTGAAATGTACGTGACTCATTATTATTATCACTCAAGCACTATAATAGTCTGGAGAGCAGCAGGTTGCTTGAAGATGCAACAAATATTCTTTGAACACTTCAATAAACACAATGTAAACATTCACTTTAATAATGTTTCCTTTGTTAATGCAAAACTGAGTGCATTTTTTCCTTGCTTCTGGCTGAGCCATGACTAGCTGAGTAGCAACAGCAGAGTGCTGAAAGAATTTTTCAACAGTAATTTGCTTGTTCTAATTTACTTTTCAAGGTTGATGATCAGAATCATTATGTTGCTTGCAAAAAGATCTATTTCTATTAATTTGATCCAGTCATTCCTCTTGTTCTCATCATATTTAGTTTCCCTGGCAGCTTCACCAACTTCAGTTAATTGAATCAGAAGTGCCACTAGCACTCCACTTCTATTTTCATATACAAAATGAACTCTTATATCCTTTAGAAACAAATCTGCTATACTCATTCAGAAAGTATGTGTACGCCGAAGTGAACTATTCCATACATATTTCCACAGAAAGGTGGGGAAACCTTTGCCTTTTGCTCTTCACTCTCGCTAGTTAGTAGACTCATGCATTCAACAATACTCAAAACATTTTCTTGTCAATACTTTTTTTTTAAATAAAGAAATTCTAAGATGACTTTTTTTGAGCTAGAATACAATCATCACTCATCAATAAGGTCAAGAAATAGAAGTCTTGTGTAATTTTAAAGTTTTTTTTTCATTCATGTAATTATACATGATGCATGTTGAAAAAGCAAGGCTCATTTAAAACATTTAATTTTTTAAAAATATAACTGGAAATAAGCTATTCTTCTACTTCTTCAATAAATTTCAAAATAGCTGTTTCCTCAATCTTGTTTCTGTGAGCAAATGTGTGTTACTGTAGTTCCAACATTTAAAGAGCCCCAGCTAAGTTATCAGGAATGTTCAATGGTATCACATTCTTCACACTAACACAACTCTAAAACCAGGAGAGAAAAGAAACTCCTACTTCAATCATTGGCAAATTAAGAGTTAATAATATAAATAAACTGGATCATACTTTTTTGTGATTGGGTGTAAGTAGGCTATGATTTTAAAAGGGAAAAAAATCACAGGGTTTACAGATATAGTCATTAATTAGTTATCTCGTTATTACCTGCAGAGGGCACCCAAGTCCCTTGAAGGAAAAAGTAAAAATTTTAAGAGGGATAACTAATTTTTTATTTTTCATTATTATTAGTGTTTACTAAATAAGTTTTTTAACAGAAACTATCACTTAAAAGACGACATTTAAAGGAAACATGCAGTGTGACTTTAAATGTTTAATAGATAATTAGGTATGTAAATTTTCACAGCCTACTGGGGAAAAAAAACACAATTCAGCAGGTGGTTTCTATTGTGGGACATTCAACCACCTGTAAATGCTTGGGTGTTAGGCATTATAATACCATACTGAGGTCAATTACGCAGATTAGCCAGGGCGTTAGAGAAATCAACTAGACCTCAAAGTAACCTGCTAATAAGGCAAGAAATTAGTGATATAGATACACTATATATACACTAGTGATATACATTGTACTGGTTCAGGCTATATATGGACAATAATGTTATATCCATAAAACGCTTTCAGCTCATAAGAGTTTTAATTATTTTGAAACACTAACCTCATGAGTTCCTTGGCAATTTTCATTTTAATGAATCTCTTCTTTACTATTAACTAACATTGTGTTTAGAGGGAAGATATTTGACTCTAAAATATTCTTCCCCTGACATGATACTGATTTTCATAGGAAAATCCACCAAGTCAGACACACTAGCATTGTATATATTACATAAATATATACACTCATACATTTATGTTGTATCTATAGTCTATAATGGTACATTTCAAAATAAACTGCAACATTTTATTGACTAAATATCTACTGCAGAAATTATTAAAAATACTAGTTTCTTAGCAACATAGCTATGGGAACCTGCCCTCTTATAGGTCCTGCCATATCTTATATTTTTTCTGATCTTCAATTTTGCTATGGTTAAGGAACTTGCTAATAAAATACATTTAGAAACTGGTTATTAAATTAAAACTAGAGAAGGCTGGTTTGGCCCCAACGTAAGTTAGATATGCATTTCTTGGAGTCATTATTTCAACTTACAAATTATATCACAAAAAGTATGAGTCAAAAAGTATTAAAAAAATCTAAATACCTGTATTTCAAACTGCTACTAGAATAATGAACATTAAGCATTAAAAATGCCTTATTTATAATAAAACTAATAATAAAAATTTAATCTTTAAAAACTTTTGTTATAAATTATTTTTAAAGGACTTAAAATATATTAATACTTGAGGAATAAATCCTCTAATTTGACATCTTTAAAGATAAATACTACACTGATATTGATAACAGTTTTAAAGAGCAAATTTCTTGAGAAACTTAGCATGAAACATATCTTGAAATTTTTTTCTCAAAATACTGTGCAAAATTCCATAGCATATTTCAAAGTTTAAAATTATGAGACAGAAGGTATCCAGATAATTGGGTAAAGGACAGAAAAAAATGAAAATTATTACTCTGAGGTATTTTGGTAATGGTATCATTTACTTTTCTTTATTTAAAAAGTCATTCCAAAACTGAATGTAATTATTCTTATAATGAGAATATAATGACTGGAAAAAGTTAACAAAGCTTTAAAATTAGAAGTCTCAATATGGATAATTGTGTATTACAACATGTTTTTCTCAGCTGAATTTCTTTACTACATAGCATTTTCTAATGGTGGTGGTGGTGGTGGTGGTGGTGGTGGAAGGGAGGTGAGGAAAAACTGTGCAATTTAATGAAACAGAAGCATTTTCTCAGCCTAAGCTGTAGCCACTGCTTTGATTTTTGGGTTATCTTAGGGCCAATAAATATACACTCCAGTGCATGAAACAAAACTTAGAAGCTATACTTGGAATGTAGTCTTTGTTTCTTCTTTCTTCAAAGCCTGTTTCCTAATATCATTGTTAGGAAAAGCAAAAAGAAATGTTTGTTCTATTACGTAAGAAACAAACTTCATTTGGTATTCAATTGACTTTCTAACTTAGCAGACAGGACTTTACATCTTCAAATACTGAAAATAAATTGCATTCTTGGCCCTTGCTTTAAAAGGTTATAAAGAATAAATGCACACCCTGGTAGTGTTCTAGTGATCTCCCTAATCTCAGTTGCACTTTGTCAGAACGAGGTAACTGGTAGTTAAGTGAAATACCCTAGATCAAAGGGGGATTAATCACCAACTGAATCCTTGCTGAATAAACCTGTCATTCAAGAAAATTATTTCCACTGAACTTAGCAGAGGATTGAAGGTATTTGCATAACAGGGACCAACGTACTTCAGCCAGGTTAAAAGGTTCAGAATTCATCCCATGTTTAGCTTTTTGCCTCCTTTTCCTTTCAGCAGCCTGGTACAATGGTTTCTAATCTGATAATACAGCTAACTATCTAAATGATGTCAGAACAGGAAAGTATTGCAAAGTTTGGATGAGGGATGGATCAATTTCACTTTCAGTAACTCCTAAATCTGATTTGTTGGAATTTAAGATGTAATCCTAAAAAAGTCCCTTAAACCTGAGGACTGTTTATTAACATCCCTTTTTTGACCTTTGTCTTAGGAACAACCATCTTGCTGTGGCAGCAGATCCTGCAGAGGTTCTGGATGATAATTCCACCTACCTAGCTCCCAGGGGTAGTGTAGGAGTCTGAATCTATGAATGTCTATGAAGTATTTGAAATACTGTAACAAAAGTTAGAAGGAAAATATTAGCAGTTGTTACTATGGATAAAATGTCTACTTTAGAAGATCTTAAATCATTCAATGCATAAAACCATAATTTTAACCCAGTAGAAATACTGAGTTGGTATGAAAAAATTAAATTTTTTATAGGACAGATTAATGTTTACTAAAATTTTAACAAATAATTCTCATAAGAATTCCTCATGAGGCTATTTACTTCAAACTTGACATTTGAATCAACTATTTAAAAAGTAAGAAACACCACTACTGTAAGGGTATTACCTAACTACTATATTGCCGGCTTTTAAAAAGTTTTGAAAAATATTGTTTGGTAAAAATGGAGAAAAAAAGGGTTTTACCAAAATCATGAACCATCTCTTCTGGAGCGCATTCTCAGAAATTTAACACTTTGTTTTTTAACCTTTTGGGTTTACTGAAGAATAATTACCCATATGATAGACATCAGATTTCATAAACATATTTGGGCACTAAAAGGGAATTTAGCAATTTTCCATCTAGAGTAGGTCTGACACCATCCAAATCTTTCACTGGAAGTAGTTGTTCATATTCACTGCAAATGCAAAGCATCTTTCATGTTAAAAAATGCAAAGAATAGTTATCAAAGAAAATGAATAAAATCCATAGTGAGATAATTTTTTAGAAAATGATTGAAGTTTTAACCCAAGAAAGGACTCTTAGAGTGTCTTATAGCTTAGAATAAGAACATGTCAATCATGATTAAGCTTCTGGAATCGGAATCCCTTTGAAATGCAGCTGTTTCTTCTTTAATTGTGGCAGCGGACTCTGAAGAAAAGAAAGGTCCAGCCTTAAAGATGAGTAAGGAATACAAAATAGCTCAGGATTAGTTGTGGAGTTCAAAGGTCGCTAATTACACTAAGGAGTTCCCAGACACAGGGAAAACATTAAACAGGTCACCTACCAAACGGGAAACAGACTTTGTCTTCAGAAATTATCCTGAAGTGACAGGTTTCTAGACAAAATCAAAGGCATCACAGTGTGCCCAGCTGATCTCATTGGGATGAAAACCTGAGTCGGTTTAGTTCTGTGGTGTTATGTTAGAATGAAATGGCAACAGATGGCATCAGGTTTCCCATCATCTCATCACTTTTCCAGGACTCCCTAGATTTTCCTCAGGTTTCCAGAAATGTCAAATCAAAGATTCACTGGTTTTTCTAATTGTTTATAAAGAAAGTTTTGCCTAGGGGACTATTATATTAAATCTCTGCCTACTTACTAGATAAATGCCTCTTGCTTACCTTTGTGTATTTGGTAAACATTTATACAATCAAGATTTCCAAACATCTGCATTAACATTAATAAAACATACTAACTTAAGTGAAACATTAAGCTTTCTTTGAGTTTAAGAGAGATCAAATAACTTATGGAGAATGGTATTTTCTTCTTTTAAAAGGAAAGTTTTTACTACTGATTATCTATGATTAAGCTAGAATAACAAGTTAAAGTCCTGGTCAGGCAGTTATTCTCTTTTCTTTGTTACTTGAGATAATTTTGAACATAGAACCTTATGCTGTGATAATGCTTTGCAGAAAATGAGAGTTTATAATGAGTAGGATTGACCTTAATTAAAAAATCATATTTCAAATCCTAAATTTATATGCACTATCCCTTCAAACTATCATAGCTCTCTTTTAAGGAGTTAGCAGCTTTTTCTAAGCTCTTCCTTAGGAGACTCATTAAAAAATAGAACCTGATATAATTGAATTGAATATTAATCTGTAATGCATATTTTTTATAACACTTCTAAATTCTGTTCTGTAAAAAGAATCTTGACATGAATTAAATTTTGAAGATCTTGAGATTTCATCTTTTCTTGAATGGTCACTTAAAGTCCAACTTGACAATGAACTGCTCTGAAAACAATGTGACATATAATTGCAGAGACAGGTAGAGTATAACTAGAATGTTTTTAAAGAAATCAACAGAATGGTAATAAGAAAAAGAGAGTGACAAATTTAAAGAGATATGCTATGTGAGACTATAAGATTAAATGATACTCTTTACACACAGAATGGCTTTTGAATTTTTACCTGAATTCATTTATTAATGAATTTTAATTTAAAGCAATATACTAAATTATCTTTAAAAATTTGGCTGCAGACATTAAATGATCACAAAACACTATGCTTATCTTCTGAAGGTATCCCACCCATCTTAATATGCCTACTGACATCCTAAGCAAAATGCTACTATAGATTAACAAGCTTACTTAGAAAGTAACTCTAGAACTGAGATAAACACCTTGAATAGAATTATGCAGATTCTTTATTAGTCAATAGGATAGTTCTGATTAAGAACAGGTTACTATTTAAATAATTTTTGTCTCCATTGGCTGGTAATTCAAGAACTTTACAGTTGTTTCTAACATGTAGTTGTTTCTAACATGTGGTACTAGGATCTTAGTACCGAGGTTTGGAAGAGCAAATAATTTTTATCTTGCATCTTCTATTGGGAGCAGCTGCCTGAATCTCTCCACTGAGAAGGAGCCGGACCCTTATCCAGGAAGGCTCATATAGAAAAAGGGCTGTGATTGATTAGCAATGTCTGCCACAGATGTAGAAAGGAACACGGTGGCAGGATGACCCAGGACTAGTCTAAAATAAGCCAAAGTGAATCACTACTTTTCTGTGTTCTGACTTATACCGGCATAAAATCAAAGGGTAAAAAAATTGGAGACATTAGACTTTAAGATGTTCTTTCAAATTATATCAGACTGAAAACATTAAATAAGAGTAAAACTATGATTTCATTTAAGGTATGTTACTATTATATAAATTCTATTTAAACATGAGAAAATACAGTAATAATCATCCATATGTTACTGGAGCAGGGGCTTTTGAATTCCAGATGTAATAATCAGAAGAAATTAGTTTCCGGTCTTAAAAAAAAGAAAAAGAAAAAGAAATTAATGATAAGATTATTTTACCTTAGCAAAAATTCAACAAGAGAGCAAAGTCATGATTTTTTGAAATTGTGGAATGTAATAATTTCAAGGCAATGCTTTGAAATATTCACCTTAATTCTACTTTATCAAGGCTTTATTAAACTTTTACTGCTTTACAAATATGGGCTCATTAAATATTTGACCATTCTATCTTCGAGCTTGTATAAAATATCCCTCATTTATGCCATGCCAAATCTGCCAATTTTATCCTCACATTTTCCCCAAATTATGTTTCTTGTAAACCATTACTTCAACTCCAAAAACATTAAAAATTTGTTATTGGTTTCCCTTCTGTAACCTCTTCACCAGGATCCTGATTCTGGTCTTGCTATTCTTTACTCAAAGTATCAAAGAGATAAATCAATACCCAACTTTCTACCAACATTTTAAATACGCTGCTTCGCTGGTTTCTTAATAGTTCTGATCAAATTTAAGGCTTTTAAAAATACCTTTGTAACTTTGGACAAATGGCAGCCTCTCTGAATAAAGTTTTCTGATTTATAAAATTGAAAATAATAATATTCATTTGAAGTTAGACTCATGTAAATTCTTAGTATTATACATATATCACTAAAGATACATTCCTTTTTTCTTCATGCCCTTCTTCATAATTAAAAGAATGTAGGATATATTATCTTGTCTTTTTTTCTTTTTTAAAGTTTGAGAACCTAGTAATGTTGAGAGGCAACAGGGCATACTGTTAAGTGGAGAGGCTCTAGTGCCAAACTGCATGAGTTTGATTTCCAGTTCTGCCATTTACTAGCTATGACCCTAATCTCTCTGTTTCATTAGTGCCCTCATCTGTAAAATGGAGATAACAACACTTACATAGGGCGCTGTGAGGATTAATGAGTTAATATACATAAAACACTTAGAATTCTGCCTGGCACATAGTAAGCAATAAACATAAGCCATTATTATTTAAATCAGCATTATTATCACTAAACTATTTTCAGAACTAAGTTGTATATTGTGAATATAGATTTTTATTGTCAAGATGATGGCAAAAATAAAGGTTCTACACAGTTGCACAAACTGGCAGCCGTGTTCTGAAACTGATAAACGAAAGAAAGAAAAGACTCGTCATAATGATTTATTTAAAATGAGATCTTTCATTCAATATATTTTGTATCAAGAAGCAAGTATATTACTAAGACTTTACAACTTATATTATGCTTTCTGAAAATTACTGCAATATGTTTAGTTAATATTAATAAAATACTTAAAATATTTTAGGTGCTACTTAAAGAGACAGCATATTTCCTACAGACAGTCTAAAATATTGGTCTGTTTGCACAATCCAAAATATTGGTCTATTTGCCTTGGACAAAACCACTGGTTTGTCTATTATAGCCTTCATAAAAAAGCAAATGCATTATAAATACTCTTTTATATTTATGCTTTTAAAAAAAACACAACAAAAAGTGATATAAAAGAAAACACTGAGAAAGCCTAAGGAAGTAAACAATATTGGCTTATTCTGGTTATATTACATAGAACTTATTACTGCCATTCACAATTAATTGCTTAGAATTCTACAGTTCTAAGCTCTGTAATTCTCTTGAAACATTCATGTACAGAGTCCTGTCTGATTCTTCCTATTTTATAGATCCTAATCTTTAAGAAATATTTATCTAAATATAACAGTTTTTATAAATTGTGATGATTCTTATTCAAATATATAATAGATATATTCTCCTTAATGAGGCAAAAAGTTTCTGCTTCAATTTAGCTAACTTTATCTCATGCTAGTTACTTCTCTATTCTATGTCATACACATGTATTTGATTTGAATTAAATAATTTTGAATCCATTTATAAGTTGCCTTTGTTTCCCTATATTTTCATTTGTTTCATTTAAAATATATATATATATTTTATATATATATTTTAAAACCAACCAATAAACACACTGAAGGCGGAAACATCCTTCTATTGCTCTCCAATGGTAGAATAGAGAAGGCACTAAATTATGTTTATTGATTACATTTGCTCAAAATACTTTAAATTTTTAAATAATAAAAATATCTAACATCTCCTGAACCCATACTGTATGCTAAACATCATGTTAAGTGCATGCAATATAATCTTTTTTAAATCTCATAAGAATCCTAAGGTAAAGAACACTATTATTCCTATTATATAGATGAGGAAACTAAAACTTCAAGTTTACTAACTTGCCCAAAGTTACACAGCTAGTAAAATGTCTGAACCAGACTCAAGCTCCTGTCTGTCCAATACCAAAGTCCCTGTGAACCAACTCTAAATAGTTTATATATAACCAGAGAAAAACAAATCCAACTTTATATTAAAGTTCACCTCTATCTCACTCCTTGCTCTCCCAGACCATTTTATAAATAGGAGAAGGCAGAAGGCAATGTAAAGTATACAAACTTATGCATAACTGTTAGGCAAAAAGTTATGTAATCAGGCCGGGATTTTATAAATTGAAATTATTCTTTAATTTCCAAGTTCAATTACATTATAATTTTTACTTTAGGTAATAACTGCATAACACCATTTTAATTCCCTTAATTTAGTCTGAATCTGTACAACTTACGTGCACTTATTTTTGGTTTTCCTGACGCAAAAACTTGAACTGAATGTTGATCTGCGTAACACCCAGTGAGTGTATAATCTAAGATCCTAAAATGAAGCTAGAAAAAGGAGAGAGATATATCAAGTTGAGAAGATTATGTACAAAGGATGGTTATATTTTTTCCCTTGACACAATTTTAGGGAATTTATCTCACACAGTTCACAAAATAAAAACCACAAGTATTAAACATGAATTGTGTATGTGTGCAACCACAAACATACATACATACATATATATATATATATACATACATATACTTTTATCCTCTTTGTGTTAAGGCCATTTCTTTTAAGTTTGTAACTATGAAGTGCTTAACATATACCAGGCACTTCACTAACATAAACTCTAATCCATACTGCAAGGTACCCCCTTTTTACAAATGAAGAAACTGAGGTTTAGAGATAGCAGCAAATAACATCCCAGCATATAAGTAGCAGAGCTGGCATTCGAACCCAGATCTGACTACAAAAGTTGGTGCTCCTTCCCCTGTGCTGTCTGGTATACTGCATATTCTCTTCTATCCCTACAGCTATGTGGTTATGATATACTTCAGATCATAATTCTTTTACAGGCAGAACACAATGTAAACACCTTCTAGCAAAACATGAGAATGTAATTATTAAAACAGAAATATCAGTTTATCCTGTGTTTGAGGAGAATGAACTGCTCTACTTAATTTTCCAGAAGAGTGAAATTTGACTTTTACAGAACTAAGCTTAGAAATAACCCCTTCCCTCACCTGGAAAACTTTTCTAAAACATATCCCATAGTTCTTGAATTTCATTGACAATATGGGGTTATCCCTATAAATGCTGATTATTAATATATTGTGCTACAATATATTATTAGTTCATTCTCTGAAGGCATAGTGATGGGTATCTCTGAGTTACCATAACTTTCACATGAACTATAAAAAAGGTCTGTTTTATGGAGCGCCAGTCTCCTTTTGCTGTGGTGCTCCTCACCTCTGCTGCTAAATGCTCCTAATTTTGCAATATCCTGATATCTTTTCTATACTTTTTTCCTCCTATCTCTGCCTTCCCTGCCAATTTTCCCCATTTCCTAACTTTTTCCTTTAACTGCCAAACTAACTGATCACATGCATAGGATATGATTTAGAATGTGATGTAACATTCAGGTCTCAGCAATGTTTTTTCTTGTTCCAACTCAAATTATGTTTGATAGTAAAGGACTCTCGCATGCATGTTTGGTATAATTCTGAATGCTGGAAGTTATGACAAGGTTGATTCCCACATGACTGAGATATTATAAAACTCATTTAGTCAATGAATGAATGCAAACAGGCAATACTTGCCTTCAATGAGACTATAACTGGTTAGGTGATGGAAAATGAATAGAAAAATCATAACCCCTACCTTTGAAGGACATACAATGTGTTAACATCTCACATTTTTTCTAAAAGATATCTGAAATAGGAATTTTTATAATAATCCTTGAAACAAAGCTTGTGGACACAGGTGAACCCAAGGTAGAAAAAGTGAATTATCACCAGTATTCTGACTTCACTACCACTTCCCCTAAATTGTCTGTGTATAGATTTTAAACCTACTTCTTTGGTTTTTTAAAATATCATTCTATTTAGGTTTTCCTGCTACCTTTCTGATCACTCCTTCAATTTTCTCATTGTTTTTTCTGAATTTTCCACATTTTCTCTTATCTTTTTCTGATCTTACTTGTTTCTACTGCCTCAACTATTTTCTCTCTGTGGCTAAATCCTAATTCCTTATATATATCTGAGCTCTCTCTTGAGAATCAAGCTTTAGGTTTTTAGCTACCCACTGGACACTTACATCAGGATATGCTGCTATTACCAGCAACAAATATGATATGAAACTCATTCCCTCCCAACTTTCTCCATATCAGAATTTTCTTTTAAGCATATTCATCCACTCAGCAAATATTTGTGTGCAAAGTACTGGACTAGAGGTTTTGGACAAAACAATGAATGAATGAAATTCACATGTCTCTACACTCTTAGAGCATCAAGTCTGGTTTAAATTACATACTTTTTTGAACAATACAATCTTTGACTTATTATTTTTATCCCTTTATTTAATTAGTGGTCAAGGCTTTACTTTTATCATGGCTCTTGCAGCAGTCCCTTACTTTTTTTCCTTTCCTTTCTCTTTCTGCTGACACTACACTAGCTCAGCATCACTAACTTATTATTACCATTCATCTGCAATATTAATAAATATTAATACATAGCCATAAAATGCTTTGTCTCTCATTTATTTACTCACCTTCCTCATACCCATTCCAGATTGATATTCATAATGTACCACTTTGTGGAAGACTACTCCTCTACTCAAAAAAGTACAGTATCAACCAAAAAAAATAAAAGTCAAATTCAAACCTTCTATAATCCAAACCAAAATTACCTATCCAGCTTCATATAGTACTACTGTTTCTGGTACTGATTCCTAAGCATGCTTTGTTTATCATCCTTCAGTCTTTTAAGTCATTTCTTTACCTAAACAAATGTTGGTCATATTTCAACTCATGCTTATCTAGGCCTTGGAGTTTTGCTTAAACTCATCTCCACTGTAAAGCTTACCATGACCACTTGGGCCAGAACTGCTTACTCATTCCTTGAAACACCAAAAGCAGTTAGCATTGATAAATTACTGATGTGCGTCATTGAAAAATCCCTAGAGGGCAAAGACTAAATCTCGTATTTTTTGTATACAAATCTTGAATTTGATAACTAAGAGGTAGGTAGAATTAGGCTAGTTGGGCTATTTAGGTTATACTTACCTGTTTTCCTTAAATTTTTTTTTAAGAGACTGGGTCTCACTATGTCACCCAGGCTGGTGTAGTGGCTATTCACAGGCACAATCATAGTGCATTATATCCTCGAACTCCTGGGCTGAAACAATCCTCCCACCTCAGCCTCCTTAGTAGCTGGGACTACAGGCATGCACCCTGTGCCTGGCTCCCTTAATTTTTTCAAATTATTAAGTGAAACAGAAAAGTGACTAATACTGAACAACCCAAAAAAAGGACTTAGCCCAGACAAAAAGAACAAAATTCTCCCCAAATTGGTGGAAAACATTAAAAATCAACTAGATATATGCAATTTAGAAACAAAGGAAGGGATTCTATTGTAGTGAGCCATATAAATAAGTTTACCTTTAAATATGCTGTACCTCCAATACAAATTGGGTCAAATGGCTGCTTCTCATGGTTCATGGCTCCAAAAGTTACAGTTCCAGAAAGATTAATTTCCATTGATTTTGGGAACTTCTGGCCTAAAAACACAAATATACCAATCAGCTATTCTAAATTAAGTAGATTCTATAGCAAATTAAAAAAAAAATCAATATATAAACCCTTGCTTACCAATAATCCAGACCAGAAAGCTTTTCTCTTTAAATACTTCAAGTTGGCCAAAACTAACTTTGTATTCCAAATGTGTAATTGGACCTCTTTACAAAAGGACACAACAGAAAGAAAAAATGATCATAGATATAATAGTGTTAAGAGATTTAAGTTAATTCTTGTTACTGTTACTTAATTCAAGGACAGCATTAACAGCAGAGCTGTATTTAAGTTTGCAGACTAGAACAGATAATGAATATTAAATCTTAAAAAAACATCAGAAATCACATAAACATCTTTGGTGACGATATACATTGTTATTAATTCTAAAGACAACTTAAAAATCATATAGCATGATTAATATAGTCACATAGGTTGACATAACATTTAAAATATAATTTTATTATACATTAGTTTGAAATATACTTTGAAAAGAACTATGCTGGAGAGTTAATGTAAAAGTGACAAGGAAGTAATATTATAATGCACCAAGTTGCTGATAGTTGGGCTTGACATGTATGTAGAATACAGAAAAATTGCTAGAATTAAAAGCAGGAGTAAAATAACCCCTGAGAAAGCTACATTGGCTTAAGTTTATAATTAACTGGCAAGTTTAATCAGAAAAATGAAGACACATATATCAGTAAAGAGATTATCCTTAAGACTATGTTTTGGTTCAGAATCAGCATTCATTTGAATAACATAAAATTATTTCAAACTTAAAAATAAGGTAAAAAACAAAGACAAATAATTTATTGTGGGGCAGTGGGCATGTACTAAGACAGAAATCATGGCATCATGTTATTTTATTCCCACCTATTGTAAAAAGGTATATGAGCTTCACAGAATTCAAAATTATTTTTCACACTTTCATGAAGTTTTAAATTAATTGTTATTCTTAGCTGTGTTTCTTCCTCTTTCACTTGATAAAAACCCAAAATTGGTGGGACAGGGACCTGAAAACAAAGATAAACAAATTGTTATATAATTCTCAAGTTAACGGGTAAAATAGCAATAGTGATTGAGAAAAAAGTCTTGTAGTAATATAGTCATTATATACAGATATGCCTTTAATGATTCATGGGTTACTCCAAGTTGTTTTGGTAATAGCAATGATGAATCTATATTCATTCTAAGGGATCTATATTCTGTTCTCAGAGATGAGAAAAGTACTTTACAGAGGTATACAATACATTCTTGTCTCTACTCTTGCTTGTCCAGGCTCCCCTTCTCCAGGTTCTCTGACATTCACTAGACATACTGATCACTGCCACAATGCCCACAGTTCCTGCTTCTCCAGTTGTACCTGTGACTCCCCCAAGTCCCTAGCTCAGCAGCAGCTTGCTCGATTAGTCATCAATAACTGACTGAAGGGGAAACAATCTGTAGGCTGAGGTGAGCCAATCATTCTTTCTGATATAACTGAAATAAGACACAGAGAGACTCTACTTATAAAGTATGGATCCTAGAGCTGTAAGGTCATGTGCAAGCAGAGAAAGCAAGCTGAAAGAGGAGACTGAGAAGCAGAGAAGAGACAGACAGTGTGGACCCTGAGTATACAGTGATTTTAATTTTCTTTTCTAGTCCCAGTCTGACCTGGGTCTACTTCTTTTCTTACCCTTGAGTGACAATGAGATTGCCTGTTGCATTCTCAAAATAAATTCCCTCCACATAAGCTACCTTGAGTAGGTTTTTCCAACCTACTGATTCACAACTAGGATAAAAAACAAATGGTATAGTACAAAAAGGTTTAGGAGTCTAGAAAATTTGGGTTGAAATCCAGTTTGTTCAACTTAACAGTTAATATGATTTATGCAAGTCACTTAACTTCTCTGAGGCTCTCTTCATACGTAAAATGGGGATATCAATACCTTCCTTAAGAGTTGTTAAAGGTACTGGAGAAAATACATGTTAAGTGCCTACCACAATGTCTGACACATAGCAGTTATTCAATAAGCAATAAATAGCTATTAGTAACATTATATATTTGTAACTCAGGTTGCCTGGGATTAAAGGTATTTTATATTCATTGTTAAAACTATGACTTAGTCATACCAGGATCTAGCCTATGGTCATGGACTCCTTATTTGAGCATATTAAAAAAAATAAATTCAATGACTTTGAAAACTACAAATAGTTACAGATATTAGAGACAAGAGGTATGCTTTTCAAAGAACTAAATCTTCATCTTCATTCATCAATAATTGTCTGGTATATAACTCAAGAAAAGTTCTCATTTGGACCAACAGTACAAATGATTTGCTTATCAACAGTATTTATAAAGATTAACAAAATCTCAACTTTCCCAAAGTTGTTTACCTGGGAAGTGTAGTAGCATAAGTTGAATGACTCTAAAGGTGGAGTGAATGGAAATTTGTAAGGCCCACTAAACGCAGAATCATCCATTGCATCAATGCTACTAGAAGTCAGAATGGCAGAATCAAGAGAAGTCACACAAGGATGAACTAAAACATCTTGAAGTGGAGATCCATTGGTGGGGAGACTCAAGCTGATGGTAACATTTGGCATGATTCCTTCCAAATCACACTGCAATATAAACAGAAATGGATATTACCAAGATCTCAGAAGCAAATTTCTGATTGGGGCTTTTTTGAATTTATCAAAGTCATTTTCCTCAACCTAACTCACTTTTCTCTCTAGGTATTGTTCTCCTTGCTTTCTATGTTCTGATTAATGGGTTTTATCATGTTTCAGACACCTTGAGACCAGGAGAGCCTTCAGAGACCCCTATGTTTACCTCTAAAATTCTTAAAAAGATATTTTAAATCCACTGACTTCTCTTCATTCCTGTTGCAACCACACTGGTACAGGACCTTACAATTTCTGTCACTTCCCTCTAAGCATATCTAGACTTGCATTCCTGTAATCAGTCCACCTTCTATCAATGCTAGAACTATCTTAATCAGACATAATTTTTGTTACATTGTATCCATGCTCAAATCCTTTCAATAGTTCTCCTTTGGTTGTGTATTACTTTTTAAGCCTTTCATTGTTTGGCTCTCATCTATCTCCTTAATCATTTTCTACCCGGCAACTTACAGTGTAGACATATTGGATTCTTGCATTTCTCTGAATAAATCATAGCCTTATACTTCCATATACACCTCTGCATGTGCTATTCCCTCCAGCTACATAGTTCTTTTCTCCTGTAACTCTTTCATTCTTCATGTCTTAGATGATCTGATATTTTGTGTGAAGCCTTACATTCTGTATTATCACCTCCACATTCCTTTGCCATGTAGAGAAACTCAGCATCTTCTTTCGTATATGGTTTGGGTTAGCTTGCCAATGACAGGTACTCATGACAGATTCAGAAGGGAGAAGAGAAAGGGGAGCCATTATTCTTGGGAGGTCATGGAAGCCAGATATCATAGCTTCACAGATCTGTCCCTGAGCTTCTATTTTATGGCTGTGATACTAAGATGTAGCACTTTCACAAACCTTTCCTTGAATTCTCACTTGAGGTTATAACAGACAACCATAGCAGCTTCTCAGACTTCTCTGTGAACTCTGGTTTCTTATCTACTCCAAATTTCCAGATTGATGTAATTAGATACTGTTTCTAGAAGGCTGCAGTTAGAGGATCAGAGACTTATTCCTCCAGCAGCTCTTGAGAAAGCCTTTACTACCATAAATTTATTTATATTAAACATCTTTACTACCATACATTTATTTATTTTTAGAGACAGGGTCTAGCTATGTTGTCCAGGCTGGAGTACAGTGGCTATTCACAGATACAATCATCATAGTGTACTATAGTCTTGAACTTCTGGCCTTAAGCAATGCCTCCCACCTCAGCCTTCCCAACCTCCCAAAGTAGCTGGACTATACCACTGTACCCAATTTTGTAGTGGCTTTTTCTTACCCAACCAGACTTGATACAACTTACAGGTATCAACAACTTACATGTATGCGGGTAGTCAGGGTCTTCCATTGCACCTCAACTCCTAACTTGACATTTACCTCTATGAAAGCACTGGATCAAACTGGCTAATTGAGCCATCTAAAGATTATTGATATCTTTTGTTTCACTAGATCTGCACGATATTTTAAGAGTAAGTGGAACTCAGGAGGTATAATGCTTAACTCCAAATGTACTCTCATATACTGAGTCTGCAGCATACATTAACTGTCCACCACCTACAAGTATTTGTTATGTTTTTCTTCTTATCTCTAGTGCCTAGCACATTTCTATGCATGGGAAACAATAAAACAAAGTTTGCTCAGTGGTATCTTTTTCTCATTATGGACCCTCCTTTTGTTTTTTTATTTCTAGCATTAAATGATTCACTTTTTTTATATCTTATCTACTGCTTGACATGTGTCAATTCATGAATGTATCTGCTATACAATGTAAGTACTTACAGAGCAGGCAGGCATTGTGAATAGTACCATGTACAATTAGTGCCTTTATAAGGTCTTTTGGTGTCAATTACAATAATGTTAATCACCTTTGAAAATAAATATGCCAAATAACCTTACTAAAAAACTTATAAAAGTAGGTTTTTGATAGATATTTATGGAGACAATAAGTGAACATTAATAGCAAATACTATTAAAATTTAAAAATATTATTTATACTTATTAAATTAGCCCCTAACCATCTACCATTCTTAAAGGATGCAGAAAAACAGAAATCCTTATGGAACTGCCAATGAATTATTCATTATGTGGGTACCAGATCATGAGCCATTTACTATAGGATGAGGATATCCATTCTAAAAGGAATCTGTGTACTACCCTTTAAACCAATCTGGTATATGTAAATCCAGACATTAGAAATAGAAATTACAACAAAACTAGGAATTATAAAAAAAGAAGGCACCTAAGAACTTATCTCATTCGAAAATGAGGAAAGAGTCATGAAGTTGTGCAACATTTCCAAAGACACACAGAAAATTAGTGGTAGAGTGAGGTCTAGAACTTTAGTCCACTGGCTTTTGGTTCATCAGGTTTTCTACCAGAGTAAGATAAAATAAACATAATTATTTCCATTTACAATGGGCCTCACAATAAAACTCCTTTAAATACTAAGCTCCTGAAGTACTTAAAAAATATTTGGCTAACAGTTACACTATTCATATACAATCTTAAAGAAATATTTAGTGTATAGGTGAAGGTATACCTCCATCCTTTTTCCTTTTTAAGAAAGTTTTTTAAAGAAAAAAGTTGTCCATCCTGATAATCTGTATCAGGACTAAGAAGAGGTATCAATGTGAAATTCCCATAAACAATAAACTAGAGTCAGCCTATCAATGAGCAGAGATATTTAAATATTATGATATTAACATATTCACTATTTATTCTGTTTATTGCCACAGAAATGGTGAGTTTTCCTATTTTTACTTCACCGAACTTAAGAGACAAAAGAATCAACTACTTTAAGACTTAAGAATGACATAATCCATGAACGCCTCAATTTTGGAGCCATTTACAGTAGTTAATCAATAAAATGAATAACTGGAATGTATTTTTGACCATGACAGAAGTGAGTTTAAAACAGACACAAAAACCTTCAGTTCAATTTGAGGTTAAAAAGGAAAATAAAAGGAAGACCCAATTTGTCTGTCAGGCCTATTCTAATTCTCTGAAATCTACTTTTATCTATAAGATTTATACATAGCCATGCAACATTAAGTTTGATATATAAAAAGTATACATTCCTAAGTGTAGAGAATAAAGGAAGATAGAAAAAAAGGACATCTTAGATTACTATTAATACACACTTGTAGAAAGTTTACCTGGGGGATTTTTATTTTTGATCATTATTTGACATGGTATTACTCACTGCTAACTGTATTGTTATTTGCATTGTCTTTCCTATTTTCTAACCTTAAACCAGAGAACCCTAAATCAACCTTTGACTTGTTTAACAAAACAAGAGCCCTAGGCCAGGCATGGTGTCTCGGGCCTGTAATCTTAGCACTCTGGAAGGCCAAGGAAGGAGGATCCCTTGAGCTCAGGAGTTAGAGACCAGCCTGAGCCCTAAGCAAGAGCAAGACCCTGTCTCTACTAAAAATAGAAAAAAATTAGCTGGGTGTGGTAGTGTGCACCTGTAGTCCCAGCTACTTGGGGGACTGAGGCAAGATAAGGCTGAGGCATGAGGATCCACTTGAGCCCAGGAGTTTGAGGTTGCTGTGAGCTAGGCTGACGCCATGACATTCTAGCCCAGCAGACAGAGCAAGACTCTGTCTCGGAAAAAACAAAAAACAACAATAAAACAAGAGCCCTTTAAAATGATTCCAGATATTATATCAGAGATTTGTTAATTTCACTCCTTCTAAAAGAAATGGAAAATAGATGTGGCAATTTAAAAATATGTTCACAAATTCTCTAAAACTACTCTTTTCAAAAGATAGAACCTAATTCCATGCCCCTTGAATATGGACCACTCCTAATGACTTGCTTCTAATGAACAGAAAATAGTAGAAGTGATACTATGTGACCTCCAGTCTATGTAATAAAAAGACAGAACCTTCTGTCTGTCTCTCCCTTTCTTTCTCTCTCTCAGATCATTCAATTTGAGGGAAGCCAGTCACCAAGTTATAAGGTCATTTAAGTAGCCTGTTGAGGATGCCATGTGGGAAGGAACTGTGGCAGCCCTCCAATAACCACCAACTTGCCAGTCATGTGACTGAGTTAGTTACCTTGCAAGTAGATCTTCCAGCCACAGTCAAACTCTCAAATGACTAAATGAAATCTTAACTGTGATCTCATCAGAGACTCTACACTGGAAGTTCCCAGCTAAGCTGTTCCTAAAATTCTGACCCACAGGAACTATAAGAATAATAAATGTTTCTTTGGGGGTAATGAGACAATTCATTATACAGCAAGAGATAACTAATATAATTGTTAGGAAATGCAAAAATATAATAAAATTTCATATGACTCTAACATCTAATAGACTGATGTTTAAGATAAAAATCAAGAACGTTATTTAAAATACAGTTAGCAAATTTTACTTTTCTCCATTTATGTTAAATGGTATGATAAAGCAAATACCAGAGAAAACCTCACCTTGCAAGTGACTGTTCCAACAACTTGCCATGTATCTGCTATATCCTGTTTATCATATTGCATGGATTTTACCTTTTCAGTAATAGAAATAAAAACTTGTGGTTTTCCTTTGTATGTTCCAGCTTTCCAGGCTGGCTGTTTCTGTGGCTGAGTCACAGAAGCAAAATGGATATTATCCAATGAATTCTGTAAGTTGGCATCTAATATGGTACCAAATGGACAAGCCTGTAGAAGCAAGTCAGGCAACTGGCTCAGTTTTGTACTCAGTTCAGTGTCATTCTTTTGACCTGAGTAAAGAAAATCTTGTATTCCAAAAAGAAGTTCAAAGCCTTGTGAAATTCCACTGATGCTAATTAATGGTGGACGAGGGGATAGAGTCTGTTCAACTAGTGGAACACAAGCATATATCATGCCACTCTTCAGAAAAGCAACAACTGGCCAGAGTTCTTCGCCTCCTATGGGAAGTCTATAGATGGATGTTTTATTGATGCGTGAACAGCTATCACGACTCTCCACAAAGTCCTTATCATTATCCAATAATCTAAGTTCAAAGAGTAGTGCTTTAAGAAATGGGCCATCTTCAGGAATAGACACATAACTTGCTCCATTGAAGACTCTGGCTCGTTTTTCAACAGTTGGATAACGTCTACATTTTATGGAAACAGAAAGATTATTAATGATTCTTCCAAGTAAAATAAAAATGAAAGAATTTTTAAAAAGCCCAAAACACAAGGCAAACAATAACAATAAAACACACAACAAATACTTACACCCACAAAAGCCAACAACCAAAAAGTAATATATTACAATGTTAAGTTCCTACTGAAATAACTGTTTCATACTTGGTATGTTAGTTATTAGTGAAAATGTTTAATTCAATTTAGCTATTTAATTTTTTAAATAGGTAGAGTACACGATTCTAATTTAAAAATCCTGTCTCTCAGGCACTCAGATTCTATCTTGGTCAGCAAGAAGTGGATACTCGGACCATTTGGGGCATCTTTAAGTTTTTTTTTCTGATTCCATCTTAGTAGAGTATGACCAAAGAAGTAGTTAGTTCAATTTAACCCTCTACAATTTTAGATTCACTAGGTAAGATGGTACAATTTTAAAAGGAATGTTCCATTCTACTTAACCTGCAGTGAATAAAAGGTACCCTAAGTCTTCTGGCCAACTCCTACAAAAATATGGAAGATCATTTTAATAACAATGGTTTATCTCTATGGCCTTGGAAGATACTATTAGGTAATAAAAAAGAATAAAATCTGAATAATCCTTTAAGGTTTGCATATTCTGGGTTGAATAATAAGTCACTAATTCATCCTTTTTCTCTTTTTTTTTTGAAACAGAAGATGCTTTTACTCATTTACTGAAATCTGTTAGACTGTACTTTCTTAGTTCCAAAAAATGTGCTTTTCCCTATTCCTTGTCTCTCCATTCTAAAGTCCAGAACAAAGTCATCTATAGTTTATAACTTCTGAGTAAATCATCTACCTTCCCTAAACCTATTTTCTGATTTGTAAAATAAAATAAAGGGTTAGTAGTTCTTGTCAAGGGTTAAAAACATAACTAACTAGAACAGTTTTTTAAATAAAATACTAATGTTTATTAATGACTTTTTAAAATAAAAATAAGAATCTATTCAAAGCTACCCAAGTATAAGTAAACCTCACTCACTTACATTCTGCTGCATTTTTTTGTTAAAGAAAGGGGAAGAATTAGCTAGCATACCAGTAACAGCCAAGCAAGTAAATGCCATTTCTTTCTCTAAGTCTCTGGATAAGAATAGGAGAGAACTTTGGATTAAACTCTAGTTCAGTGTCTTCTTATTCTCTAGTTAACTAAAGGATAATTAAAGTTTTTAAGTGTAAAAATTTCATGACTGACTATAAAGATAAGAAGTTAATCTGGCACCTTATACAATGCCTCAAAATGTGCTCAATATTTTGTTGGATGACTCAATCTGTCATTTCGAATTTATTCTAGCCTTTTTGTAAAATAGGACTCCAATGTTAAATGGCCCTACAACTATGAGGTACAATACCAACCTAAGCCAGACTTAAGCTGATGCTATTACTATCTGGACAACAAACCTTTAAACCAGGATCTAAACCAAGTTTTATTGTGGGAAGTAGTTACATAGAGGTGAGCTCATCTGCCTTTTTAAATCTTAAATAGCAGCCATTAGCCTTTGGCATATATATGGGTAATATGTCAGTGTATACCAGGTTAGCCCTAAGATCAGCTCTAAGAGGTCAGACAAGTGAAAATAATAAAACTTAACTAATTCATTCAATGATACAGAATTAAAGTAAATTACTTGAACCCAACTTGCTGCTCCATAGAGATACTGACAAGCCCGCCCAAACATATTTGAATTTTTCTGAAATACTACCCTGAGCACAGTGGAAAAACATTCTGAAACCTAGAATGACTTTTTCAAGCAAATTATTTTTTTAAGCAATAAAAATCTCAACCTCTATGAGATAATAAGATAATCTACAAAGCAACAGATATAAAAACAGTATAGTATTGGCATAAGAAAGACAAAGTAATAGAACTGAGATAGACCAATCTTTATTTGGGGGGCATAACAAATATTATCAACAGCCCCACAAATTAATGAAGAAATGATATAATGCTTGAAAGATGATGTTAGGAAAACTGGCTCACAGTATAGAGAAAAACAAAATGGGATTCCTATTTGAATACGGTGCTAACCATATTCAAAGATGGACTACAGACAGATCAAAGACTTAAATATAACAGATAAAATTATAAAGTTAATATGGAAAGATATGTTTAGGAAATAATGGTAGAAAAGACTTCAACAAATCTCCAAAAGTGCTAACTACTTTCATTGCATCAAATACAGTGATTTCTGTTTAACCAACGTCAAAATAAAGTTAACTGACAATGATAAGTTAGAATCTAAGTGTTAGGAAAGAACGGAGACACAGGAACTCTCACTCATTGCTAGCGAGTGTGTGTATGAGTGAAAGCATTTTGAGGAACTTATTATTTGGTAGTATTTAGTCAAAATCAGCATAGATTTGTCCATATGGACCTGTTTAAGGATATCTACTTCGGCAGTTTCTGATGGCAGAGAACTGAAGGCAACTTGGAAGATCATCCCTGGGGAAGGGGATGGGTGAAATGTGGAGGAAGTAAACAACCATGGAGTACTACAGAGCATGTAGAAGCAATAGCCTAGATCTGCACTGCCCAATGTGGTAGACATTACCACATGTGGCTATTCAAACTTAAATTAAAATTAATTAACATTAAACAAAATTAACAATTGAGTTCCTCAGTTACACTACCTAGAGTTCAAAAGCTTTATAGTCACATGTGGCAGTGGCTATAATATTAGCCAGCACAGATTTAGAACATTTCCTCTTTCCATCACTGTAGAAAATTCTATTGCACAGTGCTGCTCTAGATGAACACAAAGTAACATGGATGCTTCCTGAAAACAGTGGTGAGAAATATGACAAAGGTAAGAAAAGGAAAAGAGGTCTAAAGCACACTTAATTATGTAATTTGAAAAATGCACATATACATGCAAATAAAAGGATAACAGTGAACATATAAGAGTTACCTGTTGGGGAGGAGGGGGATAGCAGTTGGAAATAGATAACCAAAGGGAATATATAAATAAAATAAGGGGTACTTTGAACGGGCTAATAGGGCTGATGAACCATGGACTAAAGATTATAATATTAAACTCTTGTACTTGAGGTCAGAAAACTAAAACAAATGTAAGCCAGGAATCTTGGGAGTAAATGGTAAACTCCAACTCTGATGCTTCAGTTACAAAACTGTTTAGGTTGCAAATAATGAATTTTTCATATCCACATTGCCAACTTTTCATTTAAACATTCATCTTTACCTGCCTCAATCTCAATTCTACTTCACTACTTCACTATACGTTTTCCTCCGGGAAGAATAAATTGTTGGCAAAAAAGGATTAGCAGTGGCTACTGAGAATAAATGCTGAAATAGATTACTTGATTGCCACCCACATTTCACAAAGAGTTACTGTATAGTTCTCTTCACAGTTATTTTAATAAAACAGCGCAAGTTCTAAAAGTGGGACCAGATCAACTTACATCAATGAAAAAGTGAATACAATTACTACCTGATGATTTCTAGCAATGACACATATTGATAAGATGAAATTAACAGTTACACAGCTCAGCAAGAATTTTTCAACAGAATGATTTGAAATGTTCTGGAATTATTTTATCAATGAAAGTCTAAAATCTAAAATGTTTAGTGCTCAATAAGTTTTGTTCCTTTCTCTTTGTCAACTCCATATAAATTCTAAGCAAGTGGAGTTCATTTTAAGATACAATAATACTAATATTAGAAAACATATACTGTGGTACTGAATATGTGCCAGTCATCAATTTACTTAATTCTCACAGCACTATGAGGTAGAACTACTAACGGACGAAACAGAGGTTAAGTATTTGCCCAAGTCACGAAGCTATTCGTGGCGTACCTGGGACACAGGGAATCACAAAACTATGCTACATCATCGACCCTCTGATCCATCCTCCCTGAGAATTCAGACTTGTATTTACCTGGAGAATCTCACCGTGCCACAAAGCGCAGTTCTTGGTTCGTGACTTATGAGCCACACTGCCCGCTGGGCCATGGTAAACCACTAAAGCAACAGCTCATCTCACAACTAACGTCGCCACCAAGGAACAGCGCAGATCGGCTTTCTCAGATGAACTCTTACCAAAAGTCCCCAGGCTCATACTACGCCACATACTGGTCGGGCTCAGAAGAGAAGCTAGCTCCTTTAGGTGAGGTGACTAAATCCTCTAAGCTGCCCCATCGACAACACATACCACAGAAAGTTCTAAGAATCCCCACCCAGAGCCTTGAGGAATTTACTTATGCCCAGCAACTCCGTACTTTCTTCCTCCAAATTCTACTTCCGGGATGGTGGCCCGCAAGGATCAAAGTTTCTCATTAATCGAGCGACGAGCCTCTCTTCGGTTTGCCGGCTGCCGGCTTCCCTCGCTGGCCCCTCCCGACAGCCTGCCGGGCTCGCGCAGCTCCACTTCCGGCGTGTGAGGCGGTGACAATGGGAGCGGCGCGGGCGGCGCCGGGAGGCAGCTGACAGGCGTCCGTAGCTTCGCTTCATGGCCGCTCTCCCGCCCCAACTTGGCTCTGTGGGGAGTAGGGGAGCCCGCGGCGGCCTGGAGCCGGAGCTGGCGAGCCGAGCGGGGACCTGTGCGCGGCGCCCCTGAGGCGCAGCATGTGAAGCGGAGACGGCATACAGTGCGGGGCGAGCTTCTCAGCCGGCCGGGATGGCTACGACGGCCGAGCTCTTCGAGGTGGGTCCGGCGGCTCTTCAGGGAGTGGCAGGCCCGGGGGTTGCAGGCAGCGAGGTGGGCCAGTAGAGAAGCGAGCGTTCGCCCGCTGCCCAGGAGAAGCCCTTGGAAGAAAGGTGGGAGAACGAAGGGGTGGGGTGCGGTGTCAGCGCAGGCGGAACGTGAAATGGGGGAGGGGTGGCTGAGGGGTAGAGGTGGGCAGGTCGGCGGAGAGGGGAAGCCGAATGTCCGAAACGGGGAGGAATAGTTTTGTCTGCGGGGCGAGAGGGAGATTCTCGAAGGTGCGGGCGTTGGAGGATGTCTACTCCAGATGAATAGTGGGAAGGGCTGACTCAGAACTGGAATAGAGAATCTTGGAGCCCCAGGTTGTCTCTTGGATCCTTGCGGCGGTATTCTAAGGGGGCCACCTGGGCTTGGGACTCTTGGGGGCTTCTCGTTGTTGAGTAATTATTCCATTAGTAAATGTTCGAAGTGGCACTCATTTGCTTGTCAGTTTACCCTTACATTTGAAAAGGCTTGGACTAGTTTTTAGGACAATAAAGGCCTACTTAGTCCTTTCGATTGAAGGGAGGCAAAACTAAAATGAGTACGTGTTCGGATCTTAAGGAATTTAAGTGTGTTTTAAAATAACACATAACTGCAAGCTAGAGAATCCTTAACGCGTGATAGCGAGCATTCTAATGTATTTCCTTGAGCGTTTTCAGAATCTAAACCTTAAAATTTAACTTACTGAAGTCCATTATAAGAAGCTGTTGTATTTGAAATAATAGAATAGAACCTCTAATTGAACCACAAAACAATGAATTATATTAAGCATCTCCGTCTGTGAGAGAAATGAAAACAAATGTGAAGAAAAAGGAAGGAAAGACCCTTTATTGTGTGTGCTTGTGTTTCACATTGAGTAACAAAAGTGTAATAATTGAGAAGACTGCAACTGACAATAGAGATATCTTTGTAAGTGAAAATTGTATCCTTTTTCGGCCTAAGATTCAGCAGTTTTTGTGGCTTAAAATTTGAATGTCACAGTTCTTAAAACAAATGGAACTTTACATTTGTTATTGTTACCACATTTTGGGTTTCAGCCAGCTTTTAAATAGGTAATGCTTTTGTTGAGAGGAATGACATATACCAAACAGTGTTATAATAAGTTGTAATAAGGTAGTATTTGTGAATGATTATTATCACAAGAAAGACTTAAATATTTGTTGTATTTTCTCAGATTTAAGTGTTGGGAGATACACTACATTAATTTCTGTAATTCCAGAATTGTGCCATCTGTTTCTTGACATGAGAGCAGAGAGACATTCTTCTTGTTAAGAACTTTTACTGTGTCCCTGGGCAAGAGTAGTGCTGTAGTTTCTTGTTTTATTTTTCACATCTTATAAGGGTAGAAAACTATAAAGTTGTTTGAGATCTTAAATTTACTAAATGCATTTTGTGACAAGCTAGCTATTAACAGAAAAGTGTTATACTGTCGTACAGTTATAAGACATCATCCTTTGAGCTAATCCTGCTTGACAGTCTCACTTGTGTCTTGGACCATATTATGTATATTTTTCTTTAAATGTTTAACCACACGAATCCAATAACTTATTTGAAAATATATTTGATTCCTGCCTACCCCCAGGGGGGAATGGGAGGTGAAATATACATTTTGTTTTCTAGGGTCTTGCCATTTAGTAACGTAGTTGAACCAAACTAGGGTTTAACTTAGTGACTCCTGTTAGGTGATAGCCAGCCAGTAAGATTGAGTGATGACAGAGATTGAGTCCTGTGGCCAGAGTGTTCTTAGAACAAATTTAAATATATTTATAGATCTTAATTCATGTGACTTTTTTTCTTGACTTTATGTAGCTTGTTGCCTCATTAAAATTAAAAGCATATTAATAGGTACAATTAAGTGTTAAATAGTTATAGTTAAGAACTGTATTTATTTTTTCTGGTATGGTGTCCAGCCGTACAGTGAACTCTCTCTGTTCTTGAATAAGTTTTCATTCCCAAGCGAAAAGTTGACCTCTTTGCTTTGGGGGGGGGGGAGGAAAGAGAGGAGGAGGAGGAGAGAGAGAGAAAATACCCTCAATCACTGCTGCAATTTCCTGTAGCTCTGCCATAGGATCTAGGTTGTAGGACAAGTCAGTGAGTGTCTTTTTTGCCTGCTTCCCTTTCTTAGTCACAGCTGAAGAACTGTGGGAAACAGAAGGCAGGATGTAGTCAAGAATATTGTGTTTTTATGCATCCTGATTTTCATGCACTATTAAATAAAATTGTGCTTTCATTTTTCACATTGAAGAAAAGAAGTTAAATGAAAACAAAATTAAGCTTTGAACCCATGAAATTTCATTGTGTTAACTCCACCTCTTTTAAAATCTTATTATTGGCCTCGTGACTTTTCCTTTTTTAATGTAAACAACTTCATACAGCAAAATCAAACGGCAGTATATATTCTCAGTACACGGAAATGATTTAGTAATGATTCACTTACTGTGATAGTGTTTATCCGGGAAATTGCCCAGAGTACTTTCTCAGTTTCAACCCTTGTTGATAGCTTTCTTAAAGGATCCATCTCTAGTGTCGACTGTGGCATGACTGCCATACTAGAAAAAAAAATTTTTTCCTTGGGGCCATGTTGCTTTATTATGAAAATAGAATAAAAACATCGAAAACAAAACTATCCTTTCTAATTTGATGAAAAATTTGTTATTTTTATTTTTTTCTGTATGTAAGTTACATGAAACTTGAAAATTAGTTCATGTGGCTCCCAAGATAAAGAGATGTGTAAGTTACATATGCTTCATGAGGCCCTGGGCTCAAAACTAGAGTGAGTTAAATACAACTCATGTGGCAGTTAATGTGTTAAATGATCACCCAGGGTGAACATTCTGAATAAGGATTCCTCTGAGGTGTGGATTAATTATATCTTCTACATATACAAAGTGGCTGAGGTGAGAAATTCTTTATCTGTTGTAAATATTCCTCTCTTACGGTACTACTGAGAATGCTGCCTTCTCATTTGCTAATTTTCTCTCCTATCATTCTTTAAGAGTCTTTCCTTTGCTCTGGGTAGGCTATCTTTTGGGAAGAGTTCTTTGTTAATAATTAGGGTTAATTATTCAACAAATATTTGTTGAGTACCTGTTAAGGTACTCAGCCTATCACTACAGTACTGTATAGTGATTTCCAAGGTTAGATCATAAAAGATGATATGCCTGGCCCTCTTTTAATATTCCCTTTTGTAATCTAGCAACTATACAAAGAGAAAGCCCAAGCAGCCCTTTGAAAGAACCAAGTCTCTTGGCCCTCAGCTCTGGCTGAACTCCCAGCTAACAGTAAACACCAGCTTGCCATCTTGGAAGTGGATCTTCCATTCCCAAGTTGAGCAGCTCCAACTGATGTCACATGGAGCAGAAACCAGATTTCCCTGCTGAGCCCTCCCCAAATTGCAGATTTTTGACCAATATATGGTTATTGTTATTTCAGACCACTAAGTGTCTAAGGCATTTTCAATAGATATGACCACAAACACCATATTTTATCTTACAATTGATAGCATTTGTAAAGAGTATGAAATCATCTTAACAAAGCAACTCAGTAACCAATTATTTAAAGTTGAATTTACTGTGATATTAATAATATCTTAGTGGCATAGTTCTTAGATTTTGGATTTGGTTAAGTATTGCTTTTAATTAGTATAGTAAAAACAGAAGGTGAAGATATACCTTTATCAGGTATATATATATATATCAGGTATATATACCTTTATCAGGTTTTTAAAAAAAATATATTTGCAAGTGTTCATATTATAAGAAATTGTTTAAGATGTCTCTTAGGAGGACTTGATCATTTGGAGGTTATAGGATTGTTTATTTGGCTATCTTTTTCTCATTATAAATGCCTCTGCAGCAAGGTTAAGTATTAAAAAAGAGAGCATTAGGATTTATTTGGTTTTATAAGCAGAAAGATTTGTTTTATTTTTTTGCTTTTTCAGAACTTTCATCTCATCCCATAGGGATCAATATCTGATTTATCTTAAACCCTTGTGATAATATGATTGCCTCTGAAGATGTAACTTGCACTTTCCTTCCAGGACATTGTCCTCTCCTAATTTTCCTCCTCCTTCACTGGTGCCTCCTGTTTTGTCTCTTTTGTTAGATCCTTTTCCTTCTCTTATCTCCAAATGTTGGTATGCCCTTCTCCCTCCTAGATGATCTCATCCAGTCCTGAGGTTTTAAATAACCATCTATGTATTGTTGACTCTAAAATGATAGAGTTTCTTACCTGTAGTAAAAGCTGTATTCTTTTCACTGCATGTCTAAGAGGCATCTACAATATAACATATGCAGAACAAAATTGTTTCCCTGTCTTCTTCATCTCAATAAATGGCACCACCATTCACAGAGTTGTTCAGGCTGCAAACCTCTACCTCTGTAAGTAATCCATGATTCCTGTTTTTCTTTTTCCCCACATCCAATCCCCAGCAATTTATATGAATACATTCCTTAAAATGTCATGAACCTGACCAATATTCAGTACCTTGTCCACTGCCACTTTCATCTGAGTCACTGTCATCTCTTAACTGGACTACTAAGGTGTTGCAGGTTGGGTCCTCTGGGGAAGCAGACTTTGAGACAGAGTTTAGTGTGCAGAATATTAGGAAGTGCCCTTCAGATGAATATTCATAAGTGAGGAAGCAAGATTGTGCACACATATGGAGAAGTAGAATTACAGTGCTGGCCCAGTGATAGTGTTGATGGTTCCTGTGGAGGGTTCTGGAACTAAAATGACCTGGCAGAGTTGTCCTGCTTTGGACCAAACTGGTCAGGCCTTTATACTCCCATCTTAAAGCACATCATTGTGTTTACCACAGATTGCCCTTGTGCTACCAGACTTCACTTTTTCATACACATTTGTAGAGCATTTCCTCCAGCATTCCAGTTGGGTCTCATCCTGGAGGAAAATTAGAAGAAGGTTAGTGAGGTGAACTATGGCCCCCACTGCTACTGCTGGCCTCAGGGTTCCAACTGACATCCCTGTCTCCCTTCTCTACTACCCATTCTAACTCTGCCTTACCTTCAGCTAGTACCTCTGCTGTTCTTGTTGTCTTAACTGGTTGCCATACCCTTTTTAGGCCAGGGTTGCAACACTTATCGATGTACTTTCAGAATCTATTGAGGAGTATTAAGAGATCCCCAAGAGGATTATCTGGTTGCCAAACATACTATTCCCTGCCCTGATTATGTAATAGCAACCATGCCTCTCCTGATGATCAGGGCTGATTGTCCCTACCAAAGATAGTCATTGCTTTTCTTGCTTTTTATTCCCTGGGTATAAGCAGCCAATGTGACCAGGCAGCATTTGTAGTGATAGTTTAATGGGACTGATATTATGTTTCTAGGCAAAAGTGTTCTCCCTTTGGAGTCCAAGACCTTTAACTCTACAGAACCCAGAGTTGCAGAGATAGCAAGCACAAATTGGGAGTCATGATAAATAAGGCCACTACTGCTTTTATCCCTTGTTCCCAGACTCGTGTTTTTCCAGTTGGGGACACAGTATCATATAAAGGTTTTAAGTTCAGAATGTATACTGCATCTTGGAGGATAGTGCTCCATCTTTACAGAGTACCATCTCTGAACTGATGCTTCAGCCATGCCTTTGGCAGACTGTTCCTGTGCTCTGTCAGACTGGCAACCGCTGGTTGGTGTGATTTATGATATGACCAATGGGTATCATGGTTCACTACCTTTGCTGTAATGTAGGTCTCTTAATTTGATGTGATATGTGGAATCCCATGCCAGGGAAACAAAGACTCCCTCTGAGGAAAGGCAAATCCAACTCAATGTTTCTATTCATGTCAGAATGAATTATTCTTTCTTCCAGAATGGAAAGAGCCCAACGTAGTCAACTACCATGTGGCTGGTTAGTCCTGAAGAATGGGACTGTTTTAGAGACTCAGAGTT